ACCCACAGACCTCCAGTCATCATCTACAATGTCTACTGAGACAGCAGAGAAGTATATTGGAAATTGCCTTTCATATGATTAGGCTCTAAGAGGTAGATCTAGATCAGTACCTCCAGTGTCATGTACAACACATTGTTGAAATATTGAAGAAAAACCATCAGCGGCGCCGACTGCCGCGATCATGCATATCCCTTTTGATTAAAACCGAAGTAGCGAAAAAAAAGAAACATCCCACCGATGGAAATGCTGACCGCATGTAGAGGCAGTCATGTTTGGCTTGAACGCCGATGTTGAAATCGTAAATGTTGAAACTCCGTTGACCCCCATATTTTCTAATACAAAACCCCGAACCCTTATGTTGAACTTTTGGTATCATCGTCGTAACTCATCACATTAACAAAACGAAAACAAGTTTCGTTTGTTTCCGGAGCGACAGGTTGAAGAATGTCGTCCCCGTTCATTGAAAAAGCCAGTCACACCATTTATTTGGTGTACTTCTGGCGGTAGAACTTGGCAGCGTTGACCATGTTGGTCAGAGCAGCCTTGGTCTCGGGCCACTGACGGGTCTTCAGACCACAGTCAGGGTTGATCCAGAGCTGGTCAGGGCGGAGGTAAGGAAGCATCTCCTCGATGCGATCCTTGATCTCTTGCTCGCTGGGAACACGAGGAGAGTGGATGTCATAGACACCAGGTCCGATGTGGCGAGGGTAAGCCTCCTCGACGAAGACCTTGAGCAACTTGGCGTCAGACTTGCTGTTCTCAATGCTGAGAACATCGGCATCCAGAGCGGCAATGGCGTGGAAGAAGTCCTGGAACTCAGAGTAGCAGAAGTGAGAGTGGATCTGAGTACCATCGGAGACACCGGTGGTAGCCAGGCGGAAAGCACGCACAGCCCAGGCAAGGTAATCCTCACGCTCCTTGCCGGCACGCAGAGGGAGACCCTCACGCAGAGCAGGCTCGTCGACCTGGATGACCTTAACGCCAGCGGCCTCCAGATCAATGACCTCGTCACGGAGGGCGAGTGCCAGCTGCTGAGCCTGGACGGACTGGTGGACGTCGTCACGAGGGAAAGACCAACGGAGGCAGGTGATGGGGCCAGTAAGCATACCCTTCATGGGCTTCTTGGAGATAGACACGGCGTACTTGGACTCCTTGACTGTCATGGGAGCGGGACGCGAGATATCACCGACAATGATGGGAGGACGCACGCAACGAGATCCGTAACTCTGGACCCAGGCGTGAGTGGTGAAGACGTAACCGGTGAGGCGCTCTCCGAAGTACTGAACCATGTCGTTACGCTCGGGTTCACCGTGGACGAGAACGTCGAGGTCAAGCTCCTCCTGGATCTTGACGACCTCGGCAATCTCTTGCTCAATGAACCTCTCGTACTCCTCAGCGGTGATCTCACCCTTGGTGAACTTGTTACGCTGGATACGGATTTCCTTGGTCTGAGGGAAGGAACCGATGGTGGTGGTGGGGAAGAGAGGAAGGTTGATGGACTTGCTCTGCTCGGCAAGACGGACGGGGAAGGGAGACTTGCGGTTGTGCATCTCCTCGGTGACAGCAGCCTGGCGCTCCTTGACCTTGGGGTCGTTGGTGCGAGCGGAAGAGGCACGAGCCTGAACGGACTTGGCGTTGGCCTCGAGCTGGTCACGGACAGCAGCAGGGCCCTCGGTGACGGCCTTAGCGATCACAACAACCTCGTGGGTCTTCTCAACAGCGAAGCTGAACCACTCCCGGACCTCGGCATCGAGCTTCTTCTCGCTCTCAAGGGTGTGGGGGACATGGAGAAGAGAGCTGGAGGTAGAGACAATAACTCTGTCCTTGCCAAGCTTCTGGATAGCGTTCTCAACCTTCTCGATGGCAGCCTTGAAGTTGGTCTTCCAGATGTTGCGACCATCAACAACACCAGCAGAGAGGACCTGCTTGGGGCCAAGAGCGGAAATAATAGCATCGAGCTGCTCAGGGTTGCGGACAAGGTCCACGTGGATACCATACAGGTTGTGCAGAGCAGGGAGAACATCAATGTTGTGGACAATGTCACCGAAGTAGGTGGCAAGAACAATGCGGGGAGCCTTGTCACCGAGAGCACCAATCTTCTCGTAGACGGGCTTGAAGGCAGCCTTGGACTTGGTAGGGAGATCGAAAACGAGAACAGGCTCGTCAATCTGAACATCCTCGACGCCGGCAGCCTTCAGCTGGGCAAGGAGGTCAACGTAGACGGGAACCAGGTCGTTGATCTTGTCAATAGGGTCAATTTTCTGACCGCGGTCGGCCTTGGCGAGGGTCAGGAAGGAGACGGGACCCAGGATGACGGGACGAGTAACGATGCCAGCCTCCTTGGCCTCGAGGAACTGAGCAACGGGCTTGGGGTTGGCAGCGAGCTTGAAGACCTGGTTCTCCTGAAGGGTAGGCTTGACGTAGTGGTAGTTCGAGTCGAACCACTTGACCATTTCCTGTAGATACCGTATTAGATTGGGAACCTTTTGAATATCTGGTTGTTGGAAGGGGGCACCATACCAAGCTAGGAACGTCAATGGCGGGCTGGCCCTCAGAGGCGGGCTTCTGGAGACCACGACCCATGGCGAAGTACTCATCAAGGGGGTCAAGGTTGTACTTGCTGTATCTCTCAGGGACGACCTATTCAATGATTTTGTTAGACTACCTAGTGGAATATGCCTGAACAATCAAGGGAACTTACGCCGAAGAGCTGGATGTGATCGAGGACCTGATCGTAGAAAGCAAAGTCGTTGCTGGGGATGATATCGACACCAGCATCCTTCTGGATCTTCCAGTGCTCAGCACGGAGTCTCTTTCCCTCGCTCAGGAGCTCATCACGAGAGATCTTGCCGCCCCAGTAAGCCTCGGTGGCCTTCTTGAGGTCACGGAGCTTTCCCATACGGGGAAAACCCAAAACGGCGCTACAGATACAAACGTTAGTGCATGTCAAGAAGAACGCGCCGAACAGTCAAGAGAGTCAGAAGATTCTTACGATTGAACCATCTTGAATGATGTGTGATATGAACGAAGCGGGGGAGAGAAGAGGAGACGAGACTTGAAGGAGAAGAAAGGAGGAATGGTAAGCGGGATGAATTGAGTCACACAAAAAGACGAGATGCAAAAACAGACAAGAGAGATCAGTCTCTTGCTGAAGAAAGGTGAGTTCAAAAAGGAAGAGGGAGGGATGAAAGAGGAAGAGGGAAGAGAAGAAGCAGGGAGAGGGATGGGGGAATATTTAATATTGGGATACACAGCAGAGGATGGAGGGGAACCCCCCCTCGATGTGGGACCGCCGATAGATAGGAGCAGCACGAGGGAAAAAAAAAAGACAGTATGTTGGAGGGGAATGGAGGGGTAATCGGCGGTAATTGGCTGGTAAGACACGGAGCTATTAGGTGTTTCTATTATGGCAGGTAATAATAAGGTAAATCGATGTTTCAATGACCGTCGATGTACGGAGTACGGAGTATTATAAACTCTTCCTGACCATACCTAATCAGTCATGAGTCAAAATGGCGTGATGGGTTTTCCTCCAGAATCTGCCAGTCTCCAGCCATTGCATCCAGTCTTTGGGCCCCATAATGGGTGTCCATTGTACTCCGTACCTTAGTGGGATGTCGGAGAACGCTGGCCAGTCCGGCTCGGGGTCCGTGATCGGCCACTACTTAGGAACCTTAGGAACAATTTCAGTACCTGGGTACCAGATTACTGGTTCGTACCATACATACAAATCTCACCATCCAGGTAGGTTTTCAACAGCTGTCCTCTGCATCTCCCCCGTAGAAGGGTGAGATGCCTAATCTTATTTTACAAAAATGGAGTACTTGCAAGAGTGGTGATATAGCACAGTTACCGGTCCACCATTGATCATTATATCAGTAGAGTGATGCGGTTTCCAGACTGAACCCTTGGATGGAAACAGTCAAGACAATTGCTTCAGACTCAAGGTTAGGTGTCCTTGGTAGACTCGAATTTACGGACCAAATGATAAGGAGGAAGCTGATCTACATCCGACTTCGTCAATCCGAATGGGACATACCCGAAGACATTTGCGAGTGTACCTAGACCGCTTTTTGAAAACTCCTAGTCTACGAATTCTCGGGGGGATGTTCAGACTCTACCTCCGTAGACTAAGCATGAGATGAGCAAGTGGCTATTAGTTATTGGTGACAGGACATTTCGACGCGTAATATTCTCGGCGCATTACTGCTCCTCCGATATAGATTGACCCGAGAGGCATCCATTTACATCGCCGAATGATAAGTATATATATATATATATATCTCTACAATAGCCAATAACATCCCTAGATGTCCTTTTTCTAGAACGGAAGAAAGAATCGCAAAGTTTGCGGTTCAAAAGCCAGAGAAAGCAAGAACACCTACGCCTCCTTCCTTTATTGACCCTCACCACCAGGCATGCGTTCGCTGCTTCCGTTTTGAGCATCCATGATGGTCCTCATGAGATTCTCGAGGCTGAGCCAGGCATCTACCGTTCAACTCCGGGACATGCCTCGCTTCAGCAAACTACGCGGCGATCGATGTGTCTGCGAGGATCGCATCCTGTCTGTACGGGAACCTCACTGATGCTCAATGGATCTCCTTCTCTGCCGTCGGTTTAGAAGGATTTGGAAATCCCCTTCATCGTCCATTGCTGAACAACCATACCCACTGAATGAGACTGAGCCGCCACTCTTCCTAGATGTCCATCCAAGAGGTGATTGACAATTACCTGCTCCTTCTCTGTGGTGGACGCCCTTTCTGACATGACCAGGTCTTTCATCTGCGAATGAATATACGATCGTGCCTCAGAGTCCAAGTCAATCCTCCGAAGGGCTTTCCGAAAGGCTTCGACGGAGGCTTTCTCGAGAGTCAAGGAGACTGCACGTGGCTTCACGGAGATCTGACAGAAGATCCGGCACCTCTTTGTTCTCGATCTCTTCGAAGCCTGCGAAGTACAACAGCGGTGTAGTCACACCACATGAGTTTGGAAGTGGCTTAATGAGCGAAAGAGGCTATGACAGTGATGCACAGTTCATTTCCACTCCGATTCAGAATGCGGACAATGTAAAGGCTGCGGCCAGTATTGGTCGTAAGGGTGTACTTCCTGCGCAACCCTACCGCAACGAAGGGAACAGTTCCTTGGCAAAGGACGACAAGTGTCCGGTTTATCAGCACACAGAAGTGTCATTCAGCTCACCAGAGCATGACGGCTGGAGTCCGCAGGCAATTCATGGCTTTTTCATATCCCACGAACCCAATGTCCAAAGTCCTAAAGCCAGAGGGGGTCCTCATCCTTCCGTGAGCCTTAACAATGGAGCTTCTTCCGGCGAGAACAATGCGAACTGCGGCCTTGTCCCAATTGCTTCGTCTTCAGCAACATCCCTGAACATCTTCGAAGACAAGGACATCATCCCTCCTATCCTCCAAGAACAGCCAGGGTCTACTGGTCGTGGCTCTAATACCCCACTCCATACTTTGGATCTGGTCAGGCCGTCAACCGAGCGCTCTTCAGAACTTCTTATCACGAAAAGAAGACAACGACATCAAGAATCGACAGGCGAAGACCAGTCGATCCACCTCGCGGATTTGGACATCTCCAAGATGCTTGCGTCTGCGTCAAATTCTCCTGTGATCCTATCACCCAGTCAATCAAGCTACGAAAACCCACACGGCAGCACCTCCGGTACTTGGGCCCCGCAATACCAAGGCGGTCGCTTTGGTAGTCCCGCTAGGATATTGACACCGGTCTGGGACGGAGGAGTATTAAAGCTGGGGGTGCAAGATGCGAGGCAAGCGTCTTCATGCTACTCTCCCAGGACTAGCTCTGCGTCCGCGGACGTTCCAGCGAATCTTGAAAAGACAAATATGAATCAAATCAAGAGAGAAATCAGCTGTAGCAGGACACCTTTCGCTGCTCTTTCCCCTAATGCTTCATCTCGAAGCGTATCACTCTTGGAAAAACATGTTCCGTCTTTGGATTGTAGCTCTCTTGGCAAAACAGATGCTTTGAAGAGCAGATTTACCGAACAGTTTGATTTGAACCGGTCCATAACCTCCCTCGGATCCGTCGCAATGAGCGATGGAGTGACGTCGCCGCGCAAAGTCAGTATTGGATGGATGTCGGGAGGGCGACGTCTTGGCTATGGATATACTGTAGTAGATGGAGACAGGGACGAAACTGCTGAGAAAGACTCCGGCAAAGCATCGTCGACACGATGGGAAACGCCGACCAAACCCCACATTGCGCATATTATTGATCGTTTGAGAGTTTCCCGCTGGTCTGGCGCAACTGCTCTCATCAGGCCTTCAGATGCCAGCAACTCTGCGAGTTGTGACTCTGTCGTCAATTCTCGCACCTGGCGTAGGTTCGCAGATCGAAGAAAGAATCACGCCGACGCTCAAATGTCTGATAACCGAAGAGTTCTATGGAGTCAGAAGCCTGAAAATTGCTCAAGCGACTGTGTGAGCGAGCGTCATGCATTGGGGCAGTGTGCGCCAGCCTTCAATGAGAGTCTCCGAGACAGTTCGATGGAATCTGCGAGAGAACTACAGTCATCACAAAGCCTACGAATGGAACAGCACAATCCTAAGCATAAAGGACATAGGCATACAATGACAACAACCAATCCTAGCTGTGAATACGCCATTGGTCGGAAGAAGGGAGCACAAACCATGAAATTGAGGTCTCCTAGTCGTAAGAGATGCCGCGATACTGCGAGCGATGGTGGGTCAATGTCTTCGTCACAGCATACTGTGAAGGAAGAGAATTCATACAGTACTTCCCAAGACAAAGAAGGATGCATAATATCACAATATGCTCTCGAACGACCCAATGTCCAGCACTCCCATGCGGACAATGAGGGACCCCTCCAATGCGATGACCAGGAAACAACCCTCGATGATTGGGCTAGCATGTACCAAGACTGCCTCGAATTGTATTCTGACCCATAGTGAAGTCCTCTGGAGGAATGGCTCCTTGACTTAGAGAGGGATGGAGCGCGGAATGCGATGGCCGTAGTCTGATGGAACATGACTTTAAAGAATCCCTTTTTTCGGCCTGTCTATTCAAGGCGAGCAGTGACACCCACGCAACCATGCTGTTTGTTTAATTCAGAATGTTATCCCTATCAGCACATAGAAAATACGAAGACCGCCAATGGGCCAGAGAATGATATCAATTCATGTAGTCGTACAGAGGTATATTAGAACGCAGCACCAACACCGACGCCAGATATCCCACCGAGACAGCTATTTCTTTTGCCGCTTGGTACTCTTATCGCTTCCATTGCTCAGTACACTGGCTGAACGTTTATGGGATACACCATGGCGGTCCCCCGCACTCTGATCCGCATCTTCGGCACTTTGTCGTCCCTTTTCCGCACGCTCGTCTGCCGCGGGAGCAGCCGTAGCAGAGTCTCCAGCTGTAGAGTCAGGATTTTCCACCTCTTCGGACTTAACCTCCGGCTTCCCCTTGTCCTTGACCTCCTTCGTCTTGCGCTCTCTTTCCTCTCTGGCTGCTTCCAGAACACGGATCTCACTCTCAATCTTCTCAGACACTTTGCGCGCATCAAGCAACAGGTTGACCGAATGGATAAGCTTCTCGAATTCTTTGCACACGCGCTCCGTAGGCATAAGCAGACGCGGCGGGATCTCCAGCTCTGACAGCGCCGTGGCGAGTTTCTGAGACTGCACGTTGGACTTGGCTTGGGTGAGCTTCTGCGCGCGGTCGCTTCGGAACTGCACGCCCGGAGCGAGACGGTCGTGGTGCTGTACGCCGTACCGGGCTTCTTCGGCTGGGGTGAGCGTCTTGACGGTTTGCGGGGGCTCTTTGGCTGCGGCGGCGACGGCGGCTGATCCCTTCTTGCTGGATGGACCGGCGGATGCGTGGCTGGGGGTATCTGCTCGGCTGTCGCGTGCGCTGGTTGGGGCGTTCGATGTAGGTGTTTGTCCAGCGGGGCTGGGAGCGGCGGCTTCAGGTCCGAGAATGGAGCGTCGCTTCTTGCTCTTGTCGGCTTGGAGGAGGGTTTGCAGGAGCTGGGATAAACCCTGGCTAGACTGGTACATGGTAGTATTGCCCACACTGATGGGCACTTCGAGTCTGGAGTAGAGCTCCCTGCGTTCGGTCATGAAGTTTTGCTCGTTGGATGTGATGCGTTTGAGCTCTTCCAAAAGTATGCCTTCCTCGCGTACTTCGTCTGCGGTGCGGTTTAGTTGGAGTGCAGCAAGTTCTTTGCGAGCCCGCTCGCGGTCTGGGTCGAACTTCATCATCTTCTCGTGCAGGTCGAATTCGGCTTCGGACATTTCTGAGGGAGGATGTTCCAGGGCGAGCATCGACGCAGCAATGAAATAGTATCGCGCCTTCATCTGCTCCATTGTTCGATACCGTTTAGCCGGGACGAGCGCGGTCGCATTCGCTTCGGCGTCCATGGGTTGAGGCTGGAAATCGTAGCGATCGGCAATAACCACCCAGCGGAGGTTGTACTCTTCGACAAGGTCCATCAAATAGTCCGTTTCCTGCCGCGACCAGTCATCGCTCTTCAAGTGCCGGTTGTATTCATCGTCCGTGTAGCGTCTCGGTACTCGAGGTTTGACATTGTATTTTGCAAATGCATACTCCTGTTCTGGTTTTGCAGCGTCTCCTTCCACTTTCGCCTCATCGACCTCCATCTCCGAAGCTCCTTCAAGTGCCGTTGCTTTTGCGGACTCTGGTTGTCTTTGCCAGTGACGCAGGACAAGTCCATCCGATCGAGCATTGTTGGTGAAGGGGGTCATTTGCCTGGTAAGGGAAATAATCAGCACGGCAATAACATCAAATCTCCGCAAGTCGAGAGCATACCATGGGCGCACCCTGAGCTTGCTCATCCATTTCGGCCTTCCCTTGTATCTGTTCTCGTTGATGGCGATCGGAGGCGCCCTTTCGCCTAGAAGCGCGTAGAGCTCGCGAGTGATACCCTCTGAGCATGGACATCAGTGTCTGTATGCTGACAGAATTTATCATAAATGCAAACCGACCTGGTCTCTTCTCGACCACCTTCTGTTTCTTGTGAGGTCGAGGCTGGCCCTCTGCGGGCAAATCCAGCATGTCGCGCACATCGGCGGCGGCCATGATGGCGATTAAAACCACCGGAAAGGGGTTCAGTCAATCTAGAAGTTCGCAAGTTGATCAAATATCTCTGTGAAAGAGTACTAGCTAAGGAAATAATAGAAAATCAAAGATGGAATCAGAGATGAGATGCCGACCGTGATGGCTGAAAGAATGGAAACTAGCCCGCAGAAAACGGCTGGTCTCCTGCATTCCGCCCATCGAATCGCGCCAAGACCGTCCCAGTCGTTGGTGCCAGATCTTCATTCAGTTCAACATCAACCACCGACAACGCCAGTTTCTCCTCCAGCATCGATTGTCGTCCTGAATTCAATTAGGATCTTCAATATGGCTCCGACCAGATCATCGGCCTCGTGGCTCTCGTCAGCCCTGGCCCTATGTGCTATCCTCTGTCTTGCTGTGCCCGCCAATGCCCTCTACTTCTATATGGACGGCCGTCAAACAAAATGCTTCTTTGAGGACCTGCCCAAGGACACCCTGGTTGTCGGTACGTAATGCCCTTCTATTGATTCTGTATACTGTGGATTGATTGCTAATTAAGAATTTTCTCTGAATGAGCAGGAAACTTCAAAACCGAAGTCATCAGCCAGCAGTCCAACACGTACTCGGTCGACCCAAGCCTAAAGATGCTCATAACCGTCGACGAGACCTTCGACAACGACCACCGCGTCGTCTCAAAGCGCGACGGCCACGCCGGCCGCTTCACCTTCTCCGCCGCCGACGCCGGCCAGCACAGAATCTGTCTTACGCCCGACACCAACGCTGCCGTGGGCGGCTGGCTCTCCGGTGCCCCCGCGGGCGCCGTCAGGGTGAACCTGGACATTGCCATCGGTGAGACGAGCAAGATCGAGACTGAGGACAAGGACAAGATGAAGGATATTGTGCAGAAGGTCAAGGATCTCAATGGGCGGTTACAGGATATTCGTCGTGAGCAGGTGTTCCAACGGGTATGTTGTTTCTTTCCGACTGTCTTACAACTGTTTGAATTTTGGGGGGCGGGGGGATGGCGGTCGCTGATTTGCTGACTTTCGTCGATTGTAGGAGCGTGAAGCTGAATTCCGTGATCAATCCGAGGCTACCAACGCCCGTGTTGTCCGCTGGACACTCATCCAACTCGCCGTGCTGTCCGCTGCATGTGCCTGGCAACTGTCGCATCTCCGGTCCTTCTTCATCAAGCAGAAGCTGACGTAAGGGGGTGAAGTTGGGCGCAGGAGAGGGAGACTTAGTCGGCGGACATCTGTTGCATGGGAAGTAGCGTCCTTTTTTTTCTCGATCTGTATCGTCTCTACATATACCTCAGATCACCCAGCTGCTAAGATGGGCATATAAATGTAGACAGTCTACGCTTGTTTGTTAGGTCGACACAGATGCGGTATCTTGGCGGCGGTTGAGACAACGAGAAGGAAATAACCTGTGATGACACTTGCGGGCTGGGACACTCATACTATCCTGAGTTCTATCTGTTGCATTTCCAGCGTTCTGTTGTTATAGTTGTAGGTTGAGCTTGATATGGATGTAATGACTTGGTTTACAAACCAGTGCCTTCGGTGCGTTCTTCATGTAGTCTGTACCAGAGAAACAAAGAGCTTATCAGATAGCCAATTCCATCTATTATCGGATTCATATGTTGCGATCTTGTCAATCATCGGCCGTAAAAGATTTATTCACAGACGTATCGCCCATCATAAAGTTTAAGCAAAACGGGTCCGTGCCTGATTTTCATCTTACACGGAACTGGGTATAGAAACATTAAATAGACATTCAAACAATAAAATGCAAAAAGACAGGTGAGAAGGCGCCGGTAGTAGCAATGCGAATCATGTCAGGTGTCATAATATGTTCATCCGGTCAAGATTTGACTCGTCGCCTCGCCGCAGAACTCAACGATCAATCGTTCCAGATCTGACAGCTTATAAGGCTTGGTCATGTAGCCTTTGATGCCGACTTTGGAGGCACGCCCGAGAGCCTCATCGGTTACATCTGCACTGACGGCAAGCACCGTGGGGAGCGGCAGCAGTAAGTTATTGGCTTGAGATTTCGGTGGTTCCTGAAGGGTGCGGCGCTGGTAATCATCTACCAGTCTGAGGATCTTCGACGTCGCCTCATAGCCGTCCATCTCCGGCATCCAGAGATCCATCAAGACGACGTCGACTGGTTTCGTGCGCTTACATCCGCAATCTCCTAACTGATCACAGTCGGAGAGCCGAGTCGAGGTTTTGGATTTCTGAGATGCCAAAACATCCTGCATTACACGCACGGCTTCCTTTCCGTTGCAGGCTTCGTAAATATCCTGGTACCCAAGCCGTTTGAGCATGTTCACCAGAACCCGTCGATTTATCATATTGTCTTCAGCTACCAGGAAGGTGAGCGGGTGCTTCTGTCCGAGCTTCTCGTCATACGCATCCCCGTTGATTGAAGGGCGGATAAATTTCGCGGTTGAGACAGAGCGAACGGGAGTCGATGTCTGAGACGAAGTTTCTTCGGTCAAACTTGGGGACGGCTGTTGGATCGGCTGGCTCGGCCGGCGGATCGAGGGTGATAGCATGGACTGCTCGAGGCTGGAATTGCTCGAAGTACTCGTCGTACTCAATCGCGAAGATTCGCTGCCGTCAGGAGGAGTCAAACTACTTGCCACGCAAGCTACCGGCTTGTTGCTTGACTTGGATTGAGTGACGGGGATACTAATTTCGAATTCCGTGCCATGATCGGGCCCAGAGGTAGACGAGCGAACACAGATCAAGTCACCGCCCATCTTCCTAGCAAGACCCTTAGCGACCAGAAGTCCAAGACCGAGGCCGTCCTTGCTCCGAGTGATTGACGCATCTTCTCTTGCGAAGGGTGTAAAGAGCTTGGGCAAAAATGCCTCTGGTATGCCTGGTCCAGTATCTCGCACGGTGATGAAGACTTCACCGACATTGGGCCCAACCTTTGCGCTGACCGTAATCATACCACTATTTGTGAACTTCACTGCGTTTAGAAAGACGCACGAAATCAACTTTGCCAGGTCTTTGTCATCCACAAGCAAAGTTTCCGGCAGAGCTTCATCGACGCTCCACACGATAGTCTTGGAGAAAATCTCCCCGTTGGAAGATCGGGTCCGAACCTCAATCCTCTCTCCTAGCTCCGTAGTTTCGCTCAGAGTAAAATCAGGTCGGCCGCCGACATGGAGCGATTCGTTTATCACCAGTCGAAGCAGGTCACGAATCCTGGTGACTCTCAGAGAGGGACTTCTCATATTTAGATTGATGCCTTCTAGCAGAAGATGGGGTGCTGATCTCCTCACAGCTAACGGGGGACGCGTCTCCACCATGTCTGCCATGACCTCATCGATGTGATGGGAGGGATTTGCGTGAACGATTTGCTCGCTCTCGTGGACGGCATTCTTGACGTCCTCACTCCGCGGGGACAGCTCTTTCCTGGCCGAGCGCCGGGGCGCCTTAGCCTTTGGGGTCGATGCTTCGCTCCAGTCAGCGGGATTGCTTCGTCGCCGCTTGTATGGGTTGCTGCCTTCGGTGAAGATGTTTGGCAGACTTTCAATGGGGGACTGAACCGGGCCACTAAACGGATCGCTCTCCCGCTCCCGCTGGGGTGTTTTGGGAACTTGCATATTGAGATCGTAGGCATGGACGACGTTATCTGCAGCCTCAACCGCCCGCCTTGCACTGTCTGTAATTCGGTTGCATTAGCGGCTTGCTCGGGAAAGAATGTCTCGTCGCAACTAACCTTGAACCATCTCAATGCTTTCCTTGAGAGATTGAAAGACATATCCATTTTTTGCAGAAGGTTTTGCCTGCATGGCCTCTCGTACGGTGGCATGCATGACATCCAGCATTCCCACAACTCCCTGCATTGGCGTTCGTAATTCATGGGACAAGCTCCGAGCATACGGCTTGAGCGGCTGAGTGGTGAACTCGGCATAGCAATCGGCAGTGCTGGAGTTCATACTGTCGACAGTTCTTACACTTCCGGGGGTGCCCGCAGCTTCTGTCTTCGGTTGCTCATAGTGTTTCGGACACTCGGCATCATTATGAATCTGTTGGACAACCAAATCTTCCAGCGAATACAGGATCATTTCTAGGAATGACCACGGTAGACTTCGCTTCTGTAGGCCAGACTTGGACCACATGAGACCGAGATGGGCGATACACTTTGTTTGAAAGAAGAGCGGCACAGCCAAGTATCCGTCCGCGGGAAATGGAAGTTTGTCCGGACAGGAAGGACTAAGGGATTCAAGGTTCTCCGGTATCAAACATGGTTTCTCGTGGTCCATATGTGACAAGGGATTGCCCCCAGCGAAATATCTGTGTCTGTGCATCCCAACTGTCTGATACCCGTCATTGTAATAGAACGCAGTGCCAAACAGACTCGGCTTGTGATCCCCCATCTCACTCACGAGCTCATGGTCTTGGACCTTGCGAGCTACGAAGCCATACTGGGCATTACAGATCGAGGTGACGCTCTCCATGAGCCGGTTCCAGAATGATTCCGAGTCAAGCGCTCTGAGTTCCTGCTTCAATTTTACCAAACGCTCAATGGCGATGTTTTGGGCACTGCCGGCGTATCTGCGAGTAGGCGAGGAGTCGAACCCGGGCTCATCGTCTCGGAACGTAGTGGCAGTCGTATCACCGGGGCGACACTGGGATTTGCAGGGGAGGAATGACATGGTTCTGCAGGAGAGGATTGAATCCGACCATTCTGACTCGACTGAGTCGGGCATAATTTTCGGACGGTGAGTTTTCGCTGCCGATTGGTAATGGTTCCGATCTCCCTCTACCAATGGTGTTTGCTCTTCCGCCGTTAAGGTATAGGTGGGCGCCAGGAGACTGATGCAGACTTGCGAGAGATCAGAGATTCACGAAACAAGGTATCGTTGATCGAAACACAAAGCATGGCTCTCTATCGGGAGAAAGTAACAACATAGATTGTGTTAGCGGTCCATCTACGGGAACGAAGCGGAGGACGAAAGATTAAGAGCGCGAGCACATGGTGAGAGAACGAGGACT